CACATAATCACCCAGTCAATTTTGTTAACGAGATACAGAAAATGCTTGATAACTTCGTCATTTCTAATCCGTTTTGCCTCATGTTTTCAGATCATATGCAACATTTGATTATCTACCGTCTCTGAAAAAATTAGGCGTTCAGCATGTTCAGAGAAAACAATAAAGGTGTTTTAATATTGAATGGGCGTGGTCTAAAATATTCGAATTTTCAAATTTTGACGACGGAATCCTCGAACCAGTAAGTACAGTATGCCATCTGCAAAGCAACAGCTCTCAAATATAAAACACAGCGGAGCTATTAAGGCCAACGTATGGGTACTGACTTTTGGCCCACCCTGTATTTAAATGTGGTGAACCATATTATTTTATCGATAAGCTTTATTCAGACAAAAGACGTTGAAAAGGCTTTTAGTTTTAAACTTACTATCAATATTTATTTCTAGATACTTGACCTTTTTAGTGTAGCTAAAAATTCAGACCATTAGTATTTAGATTACCGTTCTTTATATTTATTCGTAGATAACAAAAATACAATTGTATTTTGCATGTTATATTCTTTTTGGGATGAAATTTCAGAATAATGTGTATTGTTTTCCCATTGTTTTATATTGATATTGTGTGACCTTCATACTGTTATCGTTACAAATATTTATACTTTTATTTCAAATTAAGCATTCAAATTATGCATTTCATTGAAAAATACATTTTAATATCATCATGATTGAATCGATAAAAGTCCAAGCTTTAGCATTAAAAAATCGAATATTTACAAATTTAAAAAGTTCGATAAAATAACATTCTACAGAGCCTTGAACCGACTTTCAACTGAAATATAGAAAAATATAACCTTAAATACTTAAAATAACATAATTCATAGTCATGCCATGTAATGATATCATGGTCTCGTAGAGTGATTCGGTGACTAATGATCAAACTCGCTCAATAATCAAATTCGCTCAATAATCAAACTCGTTCGTTTAAATTTTATTATTGTCCTAATCGCACTACAAGGGATTGACATAATTCTACATAAAACCCAACGTATGGGTACTGACTTTTGGCCCACAGGGTGGGCCAAAAGTCAGTACCCATACGTTGGCCTTAATAGCTCAGTCCCTGAGTGCCCAATTGAAATAATTCTTTCTGGTATGACTAACTACCACCACTGGTTCGAGGAATTTGTCAAATCGAAAAATATTCGTGTTCATTAAAAAAAGTTAAGGTTCATTTTCGCATTTATTTGATAGTTTGGATAGTCGGATCGAGCCAAATTTTATTGAAAAGTGTTTGGCAATTCGAATTACGTTTGTCCTGAACAAAATGAGAGCTGTAGCTTCTCATATCACCGAGATACGAAGCATAAGAGTTTATTCATAACGTGTGATCAGGTGATTGGCTTACCTAATCACGTGATAAGGTGATCCCGTTAACCACCCGTTAAACATTATGGGAATCGTTAAGGCTGCCCAATTAAGGTGTCGTGTCACGGTGTCACGGTGTCACATAATCACCCAGTCAATTTTGTCAACGAGATACACAAAATGCTTGATAACTTCGTCATTTCAAATCCGTTTCACATCATTTTTTCAGATCAGATGCAACATTTAATAATCTACCGTCTCTAAAAAATTAGGCGTCCAGCATGTTCAGAGAGAACAATAAAGGTGTTTTAATATTGAATGGGCATGGTCTAAAATATTCGAATTTTCAAATTTTGGCGACGGAATCCTCGAACAAGTAGGTACAGTATGCCATCTGCAAAGCAACAACTCTCAAATATAAAACACAGCGGAGGTATAAAACCCAACGTATCTTACTATATATAAAGCGAGACGATATATATGGTTCCGTGCCATTTTACTGACACCATGGCATCAATTTTAACGCGACTTTCCGCAAAAACCGTAAAAGATATACAACTGAAACTTTTTTGACTGGGTCAAATGCTTTAATGGCCTTCAAATCAGCATGAAAAAGTAAAAAATTGGCCAAGGAATAAGAATTTTAGTGCCCAAAATTTGGACTCACAAGTGGTGTCAAAAACGCAAATTAAATAGGTAATAATTATTTTAGTCTCTCGAGTCTTGACACCACTTTAGGGTAGACGGGTTCCTGCTAGTACTATAAATCTGCAGAACATCCGATTAGAAACCACACAGTGTGATTAATGAAAATAACGACACTGATACTAACACAACTACACTTATATAAAGCCTCCTCCGTGGAGCTTGACATAATATTGCAACAGCAATAACTAGACAACTATTATTATCACCACATCTCAAGTGTCTTCACGTTGATAGTCTTTCTCTCCCTTTATATTATATTCTGTGCTTCTCCGATCATAACATAGCTGCAAGCATCACTACCAGCTCGAATATCTGAAGTACGTTCAACACTTAACTATACACGTAAAGAATAGGTGCAACATACGGGGGGGGGGGGGGGGGGGGGGGGTCAAATGCAATGAATACTAAGCCAACATCTCGCAACAGCAGCAAAATGTTTCACAAACTGCCTCAAAACATTTTGAATTGTCCTTCTCCCTCCTCCTTGGAATATCTCCTTCTTCAGACTCGCAATCATTCAAATTAGTCATTTCCTTCGCCAGGATTAGAATACCAACTGCAAGAATTACTCCCCCCAAAGTCAGGATTATCCACATATTTTTACCAAGTCCTGCATTCTCAATGTTAACATTATCGACAGCTCTCCTTTTCTCTCTGTCACCGTTACCTGACAATTCTTTATCAGCGAATGTTGCAATTTGTACCAAAAACACCATGCCGATCACGTAGAAAGACCGGAACTTCATATCGGAGATATAGGTTTATCAACTAGAACGTTTTAGAAAGCACGGCAAAGGAAAACAACACAGCAGAACGCTAAGCACGGTAGCAGGTTTATATATATTGAGGTTGGAATTAAAGTATCATATGTCGTGATCTAATTGCACTTATTGCAGCTCTGATGAATTACAATCACAACAGTTCCCACTATTTCTACTTACTCTATAATGTTGATCAGTGGTGGAGTATAACTTACTTATTTTTATACTTTGATGGGGTTTAGCCAGAAGAGTCAGTCTCCTCGTACTTCAAGTCAGTCTCCTCGTACTTCAAGTTGAATGTTATTTCCTCTCCCGCTTTCTTTGAAGTGAGGTCTGATAAAATATCGTGATGTCTCCCATCAGTCCATATTTTGATATTCTGATAGATGTCATTCCCTTCTATTAGAAACAACTAATATGTAGATTTTGGGAAAAGTTTGAGGAAGACTCCCCTGCACGAGGTGAGAGGGTGGTGACGTATAAACCTTTCCTCGGAGGAGAGCTACATCTCTTTCACTTTCGAGAGATTTGGAAATCTTTGTGTTATCAACAGGAACAATCAAGGTTCCAGAACTGACCCCTGAGCCCTGAGGACACCACGTAGGAACATCTATAATAAACGACCGTTTCTATTAATAAGGCTGTTCAAAATTTTACATTTCATATTCAGAGAGAGAGAGAGAGAGAGACAAATAGATAGTCACATTACTATTGTGCAGTCACATTGATATGTATCATAAAACTGTGGTATGAACTTGCTCCATGGGTGAAGAACAAAAAGGTAAAGTCGTCATAAACAATGAAAGTAAACGTTATTTCTATATTTTATACAAAACTAAAATAAAGGTAAATTGTTGGATTTTCAACTGTAATATACATTTTTAACATCAAACTAATCGTCAAAATTTCCGTCAAAAATCCCATCAAAACAACCACCGCCTTCACTAGTATCATTTGTCTGTGGTCGATCTTCATTTCCTTTACATAATTCAGTGCATATTTCAGCGCATTCCCAACCTAAGAGGAGAAATTAATGAGATGCTTATTTAAAAAAATCATTTAAAATATATCCTGCAATAGCATTTAATTTCTTACGTTGCCACATTAATTCGTATTAGTGCTTTTCATTAACAAATGAGACGCAACCTTACATGTTACATTTTCCCAGCAACTCCTCTTTGTCCTCCGTCTTCTCTCTTCTTCTTCTCTAGTTCTTCTTCTGCCATAAAAACTCATTGATACCATCATAAGACCGGCTACTTGACCCACTCCCCCTAAAATCAGGATCACACATTTGTCGCTGTTTGTTTCTACGTTTTCGGCCAAGGCTTTGGATTCTGTGTCAGTGGAATCTGCTATTTGTAGCAAGGAAATAATGTACAAGGAAACAATGCCAATCATGAAGGAAGACCAAACGAAATGAAACACAGACCAGGATGACGAATGCGAAATTCATAGGAAAGGGAAAGAACCCCTTCGTATTGGAGGACTACTCACTAGCAGCTTCTAGGTTCAAGTTAAAGTATCGGATGTCTCAACTCCGATGAGTCACTAATTTAAGCCAATAGGCAGTACTTTTGATTTTTGCAACTATTTCACCACTGTATTTTATTTTCATTTTATGGTCCATATGAACTTGATGGCGCACTACCTTTTGGAGATAATTAAGTGGAAAATCATGATAATTAATGTATTGAGGTGGGGTCTGTAATGGTAATTAATGTATTGAGATGGGAGTATTATAGGGAATATAAGGGATCGTTCACAATGATACAATTGCGTTTAAGGACCTTGCTCACAATTACGTAATATATCAAAGATCTTAATCATTGGCGTAGTTTAGGATAGTTTAGGATATCTTACTTACTCCGTAGTTACCACCTCATTTAATGTGTATGTCTAGTTATCCTAAATAATTTGAATTACGATTAAATGTGACATGCTCCTTATTTATACGTGTTACGTGTGGGATTAATCTCGTATCAGTATAAATGAAAATCAGCTTAATAAGTCGTAGGATTGTAATATTATAGAAACACCCAATAATTCACACAATATAATCTAGTTCATGAATCGTAATTTTAATCCAAGTGCCCGGGAGAATATTTTAAAATGAGTTCTGTGTCTTGATGGAGGGGGGGGGGGGGGGGGGGTCACCCCCCTTGATGGGCTTGATCAGTCAGTTACACATTATCGATTCCAAGAATTGTGTTCAGCACCATGGCAGATGTGGAGCCAAGAGTCAGTCCCAATAACATGCACATTGTCATCAGATTCCCTGCAAGAAGTGTCACGTGTTAGTTAAATATTAGTCGTGTAGAATTATGATATCATTATATTTTATTATTACTGTATAATCACCACACAACCCACCTGCCATTTCCCGCTCCTCAAGGTCCACCTGGCTGCTAGCCGCACACATGGGAGTGGATCCCATGTAACCCGTAGTAAACCCCAGAACGGACATGACTATTATGGGGACCCCCTCCCCGGGGATTATGGGGTTTGAAGGGAGGACACACATGAGCAGGACAGGAACCAGGAGCCATCTCAGAGCTCCTGTAAGGAGGAGGATATTGTCCGGCATCTTGTAGGATAAACCTGTTGCTATCTGGGGGATATTGGAAATTGGAATGTTATGATAAGTGGTTGACATGACGACAACTATGTTTTATGAGGCACGTTCACTGATTTATAACACTAAAATGCAAGTTCAATAAGCACAATTAAATAAGATTCTCTCACCGTGCCCCCGAAGTCCCAGGCATTGAAAGCGAAGACAAGTGCGACAGATAACCATCCGTTAGGCCAGGAAGTCTTGATAATACTAGCTACACCCGGGTACAGGAGATTAGTGACCAGGTAGACGTTCAGTATTCCTATCATTAGCTTCCAGATCTTCCTGCTCACTGTCATCCTCAGCCTCATTCCCTCTGTAGTCGGGCATTTTCAGGGATTAAAATTCGGAAACTTGCAAATTACATAATATACATTATACAAGTGTATATTTAGATACTGATTTCTTAGAACCAATTTCTAGATAGACTGGACTAACCTTTGAATGAAGACCAAGCGGATTGGTCATCTTTCACGATGAGTGGTGTGAAGGAGGTGGCTGTGACTGACTGCAAGTTAACTGCTTGTTCCTGGGCTTCGTAAAAACGAACAAAGGTGCTTTCCTTGATGTATCGGTGTAGGAATATGCAGGCCTGATCAATTTGCTTTGTTATCAATTTGCTATGTTACATGAGTCCAAGCAATGAATATTCAAGAATTTGATTTAAATATCAGAACTGATAAAACCAGCTCTACAATATCATGATATTTTGTAAACTTACCACTTCACCTATGATCGATAAAGAAAAGAAGATGATAGTATTAGTAAGGTTGTTTTCAATGGTAAGCTTGGTGATAATCCTGTTTATGGACACTAAAAGACCCGAGAAGGCTTCACCCAACATCACTGCTCGGGTATACTTGCTCGGTAACATTCCGGAGTAACCGTAGTAACTTGCCTCCTGAACTGCAATTACAAATGTTTGTTAAAATTATGATTAATTTACAGTTATCAATAACTGAAGATTCTCGAAAGTTGCATCTCCTGCTAAAATGGTTTTCAGTTTTCAAAATGATTAACACTTTCATTGTTATATCCTTGTAATCAACACTATGGAATGTGTCCTCTCAGCACTTTAGTTGGCAGTGAGACTGATTTTTGTTCAAACTCACCTCCACATCCTATGCCAGTAAAAATAGTTGCAACGATCGTAAAATAGAGCCCAAAATCGTGACCAACCACTCCAAACTTAGTAAGAGCAACCAGCACAGCCATACCTCCTAGAGATATCATGAAAGCCACGTACCCGAATGTGATCCGCCTAAAA